AGGGTCATGAATGAGCACATATTTATGTATTTGTACCCAAATGGAGAGTGAATCAGAAGAAGAAAAAAGCATTGGTTTAGATGCCATTCTTGAAGAGTTGGGAAGGTAAGTGAAGAGGAACAAGGTCACAAAACTGCCAAACATGAAGAAACAACACCATGGTGCACTTGTTAATTATTTTCTTTTTTTTTTTAATCTCTGGTCTGGTTTGGCTAAGGCACCCTAATGCTGCAGTCTGCAACAGGGCTACTCTTGCTRTCCCTGGAAAACACAGTCCCACACKCCACATTCTTCAAGGTTCCCCATTACKTATGAATGGAAATTTTGGGGAAGAAGGAGCAGAGAGTGCAAGCATGATTTTTGTTAGTATTCTGCTTCTGGACTGTGTCCAAAATATTTATGCATTCTGTCAGCATCCCATCAGAAACTGACTGGTATTCCACCTTTACTCAACACTGGTGAAGACCATCTGGAGCACTGGGTCCAGTTCTGGGCTCACCAGTACAAGGTTGACATGAGAATACCAGAGCCCAGGCAAGGRCCATAAAGGTAATTAAAAGATTGGAGTGTCTCTCACATTGGAGTCACTGAGACAGCTTGAAAAGAAAAAGCTCTCAAGGGTGATATTATTAATGTGTATAAATTTCTGATGTGAAAGAGTGAAGAATAGAGTCAGATTCCTGGTGTTGTYCAGTGACAGGACAAGAGGSAGTGTATACCATCTCAAATACAGAGAATTCCATTTAAATGTAAGAAAAATCCCTTTGGTGCTGTAAGTGTGACTGAACTCCAGAACAGGCTGCCCAGAGAGGTCATGAAGTCTCCATTCTTTGAGATATCAAAACCCCATCTGAACACAGACCTGGGTAAACTGCACCTCTGACCCTGCTTTGAGCAGGGGTGTTGGACTAGTCGATATCCAGAGGTGCCTTCCCACCTCAGTCATTCCTTGATCTGTGATTCACCTGAACAATATGTTCTTATTTCTTGCAGCTATCATTTGATACTGCAATATATGCAGGTAGGAGTGCACTTCTCACCTTCCACTCCTGATATTTTTGTGGACCAGAGTTGTAATTCATATAATCTAACTGTTAGAACACCTACTTTCAAGAGACGAAACCAAACACTTGGGACAGCTAGTAAAACTTACTATTTCAAGAGAAACTTATAACTGAAAATGCTTTATTCAAAAATAAAAGTATGTTTTTAARTTCAATATTGATTTATTTTGTAGCAGGGCAAATCAGCTGTAGCACAAGACATCAGAATTAAATTACCAGGTTTCCCATTGTTTTCCTTTTGATTGAAATTATGGGATCTTTACGGTGCTTCATTTTATGATTTTATGGAGCTTAGACTAATAGGCCCTGAGTTTGCTTAATGACAACAGGAACCATAATAATCCAAATAATAGAGCAAAATACAGRAGAAAGATTTCATGGTGCCTTAATCTGAGAGGCACTTCTTTTAACCCTTTGGTGAGTGGATAACATGCTTTTCCTAGCCCTGCATTACATGGTGGAATAATTGCAGTGCTTTGTGCCTAAAAGCGTACTTTGTTCTGTCTTCATTTCATGCACATCTTCCTTCATTCTGCAGYCTCTGAAGTGGAAAGCATGCCCAAACAGAAGCAAGGCAAGAGAGACATGGAAGCCGAAGTGAATCAATTATTGCCTTCAGCCTCGAGAAATTAATATATTTGACTCATAACTTCACAAGTGCTGAGGTGGCTCCGCTCTTCTCTGCACATAAAAGAACATTRAAAATGTATTGACAGAACATCCTAAAGGAAGGATCTGGACCTCATTCTGAAAACTAAAAGCAAGAAAAATATTTTAAAAGGTGATAGATTTCAGAAAAGAGCAGTGAAGAAATTCAGAGTACATGGACCATGTTTTCCAGGGTTAAAAAAGTTTAAAAAAGATTATTTGGATATAGAATGAGAGATGTGGCATAAGAAATATTGCAAGGGCCAAAGAGATTCAGTGGATAACATGGCCATGGAGAGAACTCGTCCATCATGTGTTGAGAAAGTCATAGGAGTCATCAWCCAGCAGCTCAGACCTGAATTCAATTTACATTGATAAATAGCTTGTGCAGGTGCAGAAGGGCATTTCTAAGGTAATGAAGTAAAACTATTAGTGGAATATATTTTTRAGAAATGTCTTGACAGGAAATAGAAAGCAGTCATACAGGAAAAGCAGAGAAATTTAGCTGCTTGAGAAGTTTATGCTGCAACTGGACAGAGAGCTAGGGATCTGTGATACTCTTTCAATTACAGAGATGAGCCAAAAGAGCTTCTAGCCTTTCCCATCTTTGTGTTTTATGAGTACAGGTGTTACAGGCATGCAAAGTAGCATATCTTAATTGTCATCTCCAAATCAGACCAGTTCCACTTGTGTTTGGTTTAGCATACTGTATTTTGATGAAGTTTTCATCTGATTTCCCTTGAGGACAGCAGTAGCATTTCCACTCACTCAAGAAGTCAAGTTCTTATGCTATTTAATTTACTATGGGCGTAGAGAATTTAAAGTGTGAATTAAAACAATGGAAAAGCCTTTGTGGCACAACACAGGAGAGCAAACCTAGAACAGTACAAATAGCTGTTGACTGCCAGGGTTTTACTCATACTCCAGTAAACTTTGCTCTGGGAAGAAGGAGCTGCACAAAGAGCTGCTGGAGCCTACGAACTTCAAAGAGAATGACATGGAAGTGCAAATCAATAGAGTAACCACATGAAACTTTTCAAGGGTATTTGATGCCTTCATGTGTTCATTTTGAAATGTTACCTCACAAATTCCCACTAACCCTAWCTTTCTTGAACTCTCCAGCTATTTCCTGAAAAAAAGCAGCTCCTAGGGAATCATTGTTATAACCCTGAGAATTTGTCAGAAGATGCTTGGAGAACATAAAAGCTTCATTTGAGCTTCATTTTTCAGTATCATGCTTTCTGTGGTAAAAGGAGCAGAACTTTTGCCTATTGCCTTCATTACTCCAGGGCAGTCCTGCTGAAACCCTCCTGCAGAACTCAGCTGGAGGARACAGAAGGCATGTACTGTCCTTGCCATTATTTAGCTGAAACACACTCTTTTTCAAGAAAAGTTCACCCTGTGTTGATACATCAGTGACATTCTGGGTAAATTGTTGGAATTTAATTTTTGCTACTATTTGTTCCTGTTGGTACCCCAGTGTGGGTACAGGGGTCTTTAGGCTGGATGCCAACTGGTGCTTGTCAGTTCTCCAGCTTTGTACTTGACTAAAAGTTGAAAATGGTGTTGTTTCACACCACCCAGCAATGATTAGACATGATTTGTTGATCTTGTAATAYTTTCATGTAGTCCAGATCTTGCAGTACTTAGTCAAATCACCTTGAGAAAAGAGATTTCTACTTTTTATTATGGAATGATTTCTTTCCTGTGATATATTAGCTGATATGCAGTTGTAACGCATTTAATTGACAGTTCTGATATGAAATATATCTTAATAAAATATCTTTAATCATCTTGAAATAGCGATRCAAAGTGTATTATACTGTGGCTTGACTACTGCTTTAAAAGAGCATCTGCAAACACTGCTGAACTCCTGTAAGGCTCCACTGACTTTAATGAACTTTGGATCAGGCCCAGACTCCCTGATGTGAAAGTCTCAGGGAAAGTACTGTAAGGCCTCTCTAATAGCATCCTTTCATCTGTTAAAATGCAAGAAAAAAGTTGTTCTTAAATGTTTTTTATAAAATAAATTTCACAATGTTGTCRTAGTGTTGTAAGTAGCAGAAAAGCAAGTGTTTTAAAGCAGCGACTTTAGAAAAATGCACTGTATGGTTGAAAATCTTTTAAAATGCAATGTATGTATTCCTTTCTAATATTTAGAACTTGTGAATTAAGTCTTCACATCTGTAATTCACTTTTATCTATATTTGGTTGTGTAGAGACATTCACATTTTTCTGAGTTCCAAAGCACAGAGAGTTGTTTTCTTTAATTAGAACAAACAACAGAAATCTTACTTAAAAATGTTTATTGTAAAAAAGTGGCTAGAAAACAACATCAATTTCACTTCACACTTTCTTCAAGTTATCTATAGATGCTGCTATGGGCAACAATTTGCTTTCATTCATAACACATTCAATCATATAAAAATAAAAATATTTACATTATGTCCACATACTTTACAAAATCATCAATAAAAAAGGCACTTGGAGGGGTAATGCTGAAAATATTGCATTTCCTTTGTGCATTWAAAAAAAAATAATTGTAAAACTCCCATGGATCCCCTCTCTTGCACTTATTCCCGTTTTTTAAAACAAAAATGAAGTTTAGAGGAACTATGCCATATTAAAAGATGGTCAAGCATGCACCAGGAATGTTTGAAGCTACAGTATCATCTTTTATTTTTATTTTTTCTTAAGGCACATGCAGTTAATTTGTGGCTTTAAATTTTTTCGTACATTCTCTTATACCTTTTCTTCCCTCTCTTAGTTATGCAGTTTTAAAGCATTTCAGGTCACTAATGAAGGCCTTGGCTTCTAATAAAATAAAATAAAAAAACACAGCAATGAATAATATTAAACATCTACTAAGGTAAACTTGGAATACTTTTTAAGGCACCTGAGATAAATGGTGTCTAGCAAAATTCACTTGGGTAGTATTTTTATTAGAATTTCCACTTAAATACTGAGTCTTTGGTTGAAATGGCTTGGCAGGAATGTATTGTTAACTTTGAAGCCTTTTCTAAGCAAGAAAAGACAACCTACATTTGGCTTCATCTATAAAGAAAGCTGATAATGCTTCTTCCTTTAGATCTACTTGAAATGTCATGCATGGCGTCTTTCYCCTCATTTCAGAATTCTCACTTAAGAATGCAAATGTATGGCAAAACAGAAACTACTTAAAGCTCATTTCTACTGACATTCTAAAGTTCTTCCACTAGTTTATTTGTTTGCTTTTTTGGTGGTGTTTTKGTTTGTTGATTTGGTTGTTGGTTGGATTTTTTTKKKGKKTTTTTTTTGGCTGAAAAGTAGATGAGAAAACGCCTTTGGATTTCCACTTATCATTTGGAACAGGAGTGGAGAAATGCATCGAGTCCAGGTAAACATTGACTGCATGACTCAGTGTGCTACACAGCAGCCAGATTCCTCATGTTTGTGCAGAAGAGACATTCTGGAGAAAGTTTTGGAGCAATTTTTGCACTGGTATTTCTTCACATCCGAGTGGGTCTGCAGATGAGCCCTCAGATTGGATCTGTCTGCAAAAGCCCTGTTGCAGTGAGGACAGGAAAAMGGCTTCTCTCCTACAAAGGAAGCAACAAGAGAAAATAGGATAAAGCTTTAAAAAAAAAAAGTATATGCTTAGGACAGGTAAAACCTGCTTTTATCCTAATAAACAAATGAACAAACAGAAATTACTTAAGAAAAAAAAATCTAATAAAAAGTTAATCAGGCCACAGATAGAGGAGCTTTCAGCTGGCTGAATTTGAAGAGCCCCAGTCTATTGAGAGTATGCTGTTAAGTGCACTCTCTGAAGACAAGCTGCTGACACCTTCTGCATCTACAGGTGCATGCAGTACTTTTAGACTGGGCTCCTCCCAACACTTTCAGATATTTTCATAGAACTCGTTCTGCTTGGTGCAGTGTGAAATACTGGGGAATAAGGGCTTTGACTGAAAAGCAGCAAACAGCTGTACAGATATTACATGGTAACTGGTGTGGTACTCAAATCCTCAATAGAAACAAACCACTTTGCTGATGATGAGTTTCTGTCTAATTCTTAAGGACTTGAGATAGCACATGCTAAACTTGCCAGCTGCTTAAGGAGCCAGAAAGGAGCCCCTCATGCATTGCCTGCTTTTTGCTGCCTGATTTCAGTCAGCTGGAGCCTTCTCARAGTTAGCAATTTCCAAAGCCTGAAAGTTAACATAAAATCCTTAAAGCAAAAGCTAGTGGAAATGGGCTGAACCATCCTAAAATTATCAAGGGAGCAATGCTGATTTATGCAGTATCTGGCCTGCAGTTACAAGACCATGATAAACCGCCCTCCCACCTTCCCCCTCTCCCTGCAAGAGGCAGAATTTAGCCTTTTAATGATTCATTTGAAATTCTGTGAAYGCATTTCAAGGTTAGTTAAGGAATGCTGCTGGTTTTTCCACCTGCAGAGAAAAAAAGCAAAAAGGCATCCCGATGTTATAGCAACAAGAAACTGCAGATGTAACGCTTGCTCTTACCAGTGTGAGTTCTGATGTGTCCTTGAAGCAGCCAGGGTCTAGAGAAAGCCTTGCCACAGATCTTGCAGACACAAGGTAGCGTGTGGGTCCTGATGTGCATCTTAAGCGCTCCCAGGCTGACATACTCCTTGTCACAGTACTTGCAGCTGAACGATTTCCTCGACTGGGCATCACAGTGCAGCTGCTTATGTTTGGCCAACCCAGAGAAAGTTGAATAGGTCTTGTTGCATAAACTGCACTGGAACTTTTCAGCTTCGATGGCATGAGGGTCTGAAAGCTTTGACTGGATTCTCTCTTCTTCATCGCTAATGGGGCTTTCTGAACCGCTGTGATCTTTGGAGGAGGTGTCRGAAGGTGGAGGTGGGCTGACTCTTCCCAAAGATGAGGGGTATCCAGAAAGTGGAGAGAGGTCATTGGGCAATGGAGACGGTAGCAGCCCAGTTGTAGTCCACACAGTAATGGGATTGTAGGCTACCGAGCTCAGGATCTCTGGCTGTGGTATGATAGGGACTGGGTAGCTTTCGTACAGGTAGGGGGATATAATCACTGCAGAAAGAAGAACATTTGAAGGTAAGAGAACSGAAAAGTATTCCAAAAAGCAGCAAAATTAACACTTTGAGGATTAAAAGCTGCATTAATTAAACATTCAGTAGGGCAATCTGAATTTAAGGGRGATTCAGGAAATATTGTTTCATACATATATTCTCATGGGTAGAGACAGTGCCCTTGAACAGGCAAATTGCAGCTGGAGCSTCCCTTCAAGGCGGCATGCCGCTTTTAAATCTGTGCAGCCTGACACAATGAAGCAGTGAAACTTCCTGCAGGATTTGAATTAAAGTTTCAATTCCACCACCGMCAGATACAGAACAGGAAAACTCCAAATCCTTTCCGAGTAACTCGAGTTCAAGTGGATGAGCAAACTTTCATGATTCACGCTGGTCAGCACTGACATATTTCTCAAAACTCCCTCCTTGTAAGCAGGAGAAAATAGAGCAAGCACTGAGCAGAGCAATCCCACCCCTCCTCAGCCCCGCCACGCACCGACCGCAGCCTCGGGAGCGACGCGGTGGCACCAGAGCTCGTTTTGTTACCTGTGTGAGTGTCCAGCTCGCTGTAGTTGGGCTTCTTGGATGAATTGAAATGCTTCTTGACCAGGAAGGAGCGTGGCATTTTGGATGCAGGGTTTCAGCSTGTCGCAGCCCGTGTGTCCTTGCGGCGCTGTGGCGGTCCGGGTGGCACAGGCACACGCGGTGTCACTGCGGGAGCATCGGTGCCGCTCCCGGTCCCACGCAGCCCATCCACTCCCGCCGGTGCAGTGGCAGTGCCGAGGCGCCTTGAAAAGTGCTGTAAATACCCACGAGTCAGGTGCAGGGGGGAAGGGTTTCCCGCTCCTCCAATCGCTTCGGGATGTTCTCAAGCACTTTTCCAAAGAGGCTGTTTTTCTGGGAGGGCTCTGGGGCTGCTGGCTGAGGGATCCAATCCCGCTCGGAGGGTTTGGTTCAGGTTTCAGCTCCTCCCGCTGGAGACAGCTGTGAACAGTGCAGAGAGCTCGAGCAGAGCGCGTTACCCCGCTCTCCGAAGTGGGGGCATGTCGCTCTGTAGAGCTGCAGTCTACAAAAATGTGTTGCTCAAAATGCTTGAAAATAAAGGTCAGTTTACTGATTCAGCTGATTTTTTTCCCTTTTTTCTTTCTGAGACCTGGATAAGTCATAGGTGCTGAAACTTTTCTCCTTCCCCCCACTTTTTTCTTTTTTTTTTTCTTTTTTTTTTTTTTCTTCTCTCCCTTCCTTTTCCTTTTAAATGAGTTTGTATTCCAGATGTTTGATACGAGAATTACAACGGGACAAACTGTTTGTTAAAGGCAGAAGGGGTGCACACACACATTCACACACTACAAGATAACAAGTTGGCCTGCAGACCTAATGGAAGGCTTTGAACTGAATGGGCGCCTGCTCCATTTGGGAGCTGCCTTTGAAAAGTTGTGCTCAGGAAAGGCTGGAGACGAGCAGCCTGCCCCCCCAACCTGCACCCTTGCAGGCAGAAGGACCAGACAGATACTGTGAGGGAGTTCAAGGAGAGGGAGAAGCCTTGGGAAGGATTACATTTCAGAGCAGGGTGATAGCTTCTGTATAATATGCATACTGCTTCAGACTGATCATATGAAGAGTGCTTTCTCTTTTACTTTAAAAATCTGCAGAATGCAAAACTTCAACCTTTCCTTCCTTGGGAGTAGTTATGTCACTCTTTTGCCTATCCTCTTAGGACACTGCCAAGGAAATTTTCCTAATTATCCAAAGCAGTTAAAGGATGCACAGATAAGCAAACCCCCCAAARTTATAGACTGGGTAATTTAAATGTCTCTTAAATGTCCTTCTCCATTAGTATATTTTAGGACCTCTTGATTTCCTATGAAGGTATAATCTGTTTTATGTATTTCAYATAAGATGAAAGTCTCTTAAATGTGCCACAGAGTGTTCTGGTTATCTAGATTGATTTAGAGGAGATATTTAGCCACAGATAGGTTTTTTAATTTTAAAATATTTGCATTTTGGAAATATGGACAGCTGAACGCTGGTAMATTTCTAACACAAATTACACTCTGATTGACTCTTGGTCTGCCCTCCCCACCCCTCCCTCCCCCTCGTTGTGTATTACCTACACCTGCCTGGGCACATACCGACATGCCGTGCTGGTGTGACGCTGGGGCTCTCTCTCTCTTCCTTGGAGGAGGTGCAGAGGGTGTTTTACAGAGACCACCCCAGCCCGTTTTTGCAGCAGGTGTTGGAATAGATGTGAATCTCTTGAAGGAAAAAAAAAAAAAAAAAAAAAAAAAAGCCTGATGGGTCTGTTAAGACATGCAAGAGCAAAGTGCTTTGTCAAGCCGCATGACTTCTTAATCTTGGGGAATACCAAAACAAGTGCAGGGAAAGCTAGCCATTTTCAAGAACTGATTAAAAAGATTCATCTGTTCAGCATCTAATTCTAGGTGTCTGTTAGTGAAAGGTGCCATATGGATTTCCGAGTGGCAGGGAACATACACAGGCTATGGGAAGAAAGGGAAAGTGRCAAGGAAAGGGACTTTCCAGGTACTTGCTTTGCAGCTGGGACAAAAGGCACAGAGGTGGCTTTTTCCAGAAGAGAGAGCAGTGCTTGCAGAGGCACAATCAGTTACTTTCCTCATCTCCACAGAAATGAAGAAATCCACAAAGCATTTCTAAGAGGTTGCATTTGTGGTCCTGCTTCCCTCTCAGCTCTGCTMCATCTGAGAAGCCCCTGTCCCCTGACAGCTCTGGGAAAGCATTGCATTCCAGGATGTGAGGCATTAGTCTGTATCTAAATAGTCTGTTACACGAGCTGTGATTCAGACCCTGAGCTGGTTTAGGTTTGTGTGTTGAAATGAATGGAGCCATGCAGATTTTCACTGGCTCGGGATCTGTTCTTTTGTGTGTTTGTTAAAAGTAAAGGGTCTGATTCACCAGTGAGGTTCTCGCTCCCGGGGCATTTTCACCAGCATAGCAGCGGAGTGATGCAGTTTAAATTAATTGCACTTATATAAATCACAGGAGCATAAGCAGTTAGCCCACTGGCTGAGCTGATTGAAGGATGTTAGGAATTGGATGCAAGGCATGTTATTACATGGTCCTGAAAGGATATTAGCAGCACATACTACCTGAGTGAGGTCTGCTGTCAAAAAAAGGGAGAGTCTGCGTGAGGAGTGGGTGAGTCAGAGCAAACAGGTGCTCTGGGTGTTTACGGCAAATGTGGATGAGAGGGCGCATCCATCCCCGTGCAGGAAAGCAACACAAAGGTCGAGTGCAGGAGACGCGAGGTTTCCTCTCCTTGGAGGAGCCAGGGAAGCGTGGAGGGTGGCGGGTGGCTCTGACTGATGGTCACRCTGCCTGCGGGCAAAGCCTTGCACCCACCTCTGAAAAATCAGGCCTCCAGCTTCCCTCTCACATTTTACAAGTAGCTGGTCTTTTAGGGATTCTTTATTTTTTACTTTGAAAGCTCACGTAAAGCTGTCTTGTTAATGCCACTGTGCTGCTAATTGCCACTCTGCAAAGTGCGTAGGAAACGATCCAAGCAGTTCTGCTGCCTGAAACCTTGGCATGTGCTTTGCAGCAACTAAGTGATTAGGACCAGAGCTTCAACCATACAGCAGAAATGGCTTTCTTTTTTTTTCTTCTTTTTTTAATTTCTTTTTCTGTGTTTTTTTTTTCTTTTTTAATATCAGACCACTTTTTCCTGTGCACAGATAAGATACTGTGAGCCTCACTTTAGTCTCCCCATTTCTGACAGTTCCATCAAATCCCTTTCCTTGTCAGGCTTTCTGAGAAGGGCAGCTACTTCGTTACTTGGCTTTCTGGAAATGGAAGGGTGCCAGAATTATGTTTGTTATCAAGAGGGAAGAAGGACCCAAACAAAGCCATCAATAGCTTAGCTCTTCTTATGACAGCATTAATGTCCTTACCAAGCATTAACACTAGTGAGAGAGYGGATCAGAAAATGTTAAATATCTGGATAAACCACAGCAGAATTAAGAAAAATAGTTCCAGAATATTAAATGAGCTAGGTTGGATCACTGTTCCCATATTTCTCAGGCAGCACTCTTAATCATTTTGACTGCCAGGGAGTCCATGGAAGGCAGCACGAGGTTTGGAAGAACCCCCAGGAGGCACTGAGCCCAGCAGAGCTYACCAAAAATAGCTCTGGAGGTTTATTGATGCAGGTGACGACTTYATCCTGGAAGAGGTAGAAGCTCAAGTAGCTCACACCTACAGCGTAGCTCTTGCAATTCATAAGCCTCCTGCATTTCAAAGGGAAGTGTGAAATGGTTAATATGGGAAAAAGAAAGGTGGGTTTTCAATAGTCAGTTGAATGTGGAAAGTATCAACTCAACTTCAGTGTTACCCTACGCTTTCATATTTCCCCCTTAGCGCCAGCTGATATATCCTGGAGAGTAAAGACATGGTGYGACTTTCAGAGGCAGGAAAGGTTTAGTAGCGCTAGAAGCTGGGGAATACCTCAAATGTGATTAGATTGGATGTCAGAGAAAAATAACTCCAAAATTAACAGAGTAGAGGGGAACAATTAGGCAAGGGTATTCCTTTCCATCACCCCAACATATATGCCTTAASAAATTTTGAAACACACTCTTACAATACCTTTCTTTCATGTTTTGCTCATCTTTCCAAATGCTGACCTGAACTATCAGCAGAAATGGCAGCAAATTTAATGCAAGTCTGTTCTAAAGTCAAGCTCCATCCTTGTAGGCTCCAAGTTCAATAAAGTCATGGTAAATTTGTGCATTTTGGAAAGCTTTTCCCAGTCAAGTAAAACATCTCCACGTTTTGAATGTTTTGCACCAATACATAATTTTTTTTTTCTACAATCAGTAACTTCACCAGAGTTTAGGTGTATTTAAGAGATGGTGATTGAACAGCAAAAGTCTAATTCAGTCTGAACTTTCCAATAAGTCAAGGCCTTTTGAAGGGTGTCTTGTAAAAATCTAAGCCTATCTATATTTCATATAGATCTATATGAAAATATTTTTCCTTACAAAATCGTATTTATTAATAGAYGCAAAATAGTTCCTTTTGTATCAAGCAGTTCAAGCAGCCCTGGCTTCTGTGTGCACTCTCCTTCACACCTGTGTAGCTTCACCGACTTAAGAGGGGTCATTTTAGAGTCAAATTAGCCCATAATGAAGGAACCTGGTCACAGTTCAATTTTCCTACATTGTTTCTACATGAAGATATTTTAACAATGGGCCAAATTCCCCTGTCATTCCCATCTGTAATATCTCCACTGGCTCCAGCTGAGCTGTTTCAGATTTACTGAAGCAGAACTGAGATGCAATTCTATTCCGATGAATACAGCCCAGTCTATGCGTGCAGTGCTGTAACAAATTTTGGTAACACAAAAGTGCGCTGCTCCCAGCCCGAGCCATTGCACTCTGCAAGGCAAAGCCGACCTTCCAATGCRCCTCTGCGTGATTCACACGGGGAACAAAAAGTTCGGGAGCGCTGCCCTTGGGATCCAGGGAGAGAAGAGCGCTCGCACAGCGTTGTGCGGTCGGAAAGAGCCACCTGCTGGGCACAGCCACCGAAGGGACAGGGATGCTCCGCGGAGCCAGCACTGGACCGGCCGCCCCACCGTGTGGCCAGCCCGGGAAATGGGRATGCTGCGGCTCCGGGATGGATCCACGGATGGGGGTTATGGGGAAGAGAAGGACGGGCCGCCAGCAGCGGCAACGAGACGGCGAAATCGCGATCCCAGTTTTTATGTGGCTGAGATCTGTGACTTGAAATGTGCATGTTTTCGCTGTTACTGTTTATTGCCTAAAGCAAAATGAGACGTGAAGGCATCACACTAGATTTGCTGCTCTGGGAAATGCATGTCTTGTGT